CCGTTGAGAAGAAAACAAAAACAAAAACAACAACATTTGTCATCATTGCATCTGTTCATATAAGGGACAACTGAATATAGACAAATAAATAACAAGAAAATGAAGATGAAAATGAAATTAATTAAGCTAATAACTTTTGACTTAATAAGGAGAATGGTTACTCGGTTGTCCCTAAATGATAACAAGTTCCATTGATTACTTAACCTTCTCAGCTTGCCCCTTGCGTTTCTCTTCCAAACAATCATTCTTCATCGGTTTTACTTCACAGGAAACCAACTTCACTTGACCGGAATTATCAGGTTCCAAAGACTTCATTATGGCTTTGTGGATTTGATCATTAAGCCCTTGAATTGATGCTTTAAAAAACATCCTCCTCATGTACATGAAACTCATCCTTAGAGCCTGATAGCTTTTGCTATTAAAATCCGAATTTGGTTTGTGAAGAAAACAAAATGTCATGCCTCGTTTAAATAATATTCCAGACAGTAATTTCTTGATGAATAAGTAAAATGTAATATGGATAGCTCGTTATTACTCGTTATATATGGAAGGTGTTCTAAATATGTAAGTTGGTGAGAATCCTATGTTAGGAATTGCAAATAATTTTTTTTCCTTAATCATAGTATGTTCAAGTACTTCCCAATAATTCATATTTATAATTTTCAAGTTTTAAATGAAGGAGAAAAAAAAAAAGGAGCAATAACCATAAAGAAAATCATAAAACCAAAACTTTTATTCAAAATGAAATGAGCAAAAGATAAGGGTAAGAATTGGCAATTAAAACAATATTTACTGACAATTAACATTTACATTGCCAAACCATAAACCATATGATTTGATGATAGAATTATTTATACTCTTAGTTATAGATTTAAGGTTCAATCTTTAATCTCTAAAAAAAAAAAATGCCAACAACAACAACAACACACTTCCATTGCCAACAGGCAGTGGCAAAAACTTAACCGCCACCCCATAGATGGGCAGGCCATTGCTTTGACAAATTTAGTGGCAAAAGGCAAGGTGTAACCTCATTTTCTTACCGTAAATTGCACTTACCCCATGTGGTTTGGGATTGGTGCATTTAACCCCTCAAATTACCGAAATGTGCACTTAACTCCATTTTGGTTTGAAATTGTGCATGTAACCCTCCAAATTATGCAAATGTGTTTTCACCTCCTTGTGGTTTGGAAAATTTACATTTGACCCCTAGTGTTTTTGTGATTTCACCTTTAATATTAATAGATTTTAGGGGCGAAGGCACACTTTGGACAATAATTTCTTAATAAATAAGTAAAATGTAATATAGATGGCTCGTTATTGCTTGATATAAATGGAAAAACAGAAGTCAATCCTTTCTGAATATGTAAATGAAGAGTTTTATAATTAGGAATGACAAACAAATTTATTTATTTTCCTTAATTTTATGCTCAGCAACTTCCTTACACTACTAAAAAGAAAAAGGCTATTTTTCAGTGCATTTTGCACTGAAAAATTCTCAAAATGTGCTGAAAATTTCTTATTTTCCAACGTTGTGTGTTGAAAAATGTTAATGGAAAAAAAACTCATGCCAAATAGTTATTTTTCAATGCAAAAAAAAAATGTGTTGAAGAGTAATGGTTAACAGTAAACCAATAATGTGCTTTAAGCTGCTGCTATTACTTATTTTCAA